TTAACTTTTGTCTTTTACAAGCGTTCTATTGATATTTTATTTTCGAATTTTTCATTCTAATTGAACGAGTTAATACTGTTTGCATTTACAAGTAATTAATATTGAAGAAGATGATGCATGTCTTCATTTCATCTTTTAAGTTGTGACCAAGGTTTTTAGTTTTACTTAGATGGGCTAGAAAATTGGAAAATGTTATGGTATGGTCGTATGACAAGTGCACTTTCAATATTTTTACACCATCCGAAAAAGATGTTTGAAAATCTTCAAAGGAATAGAAAAATGTGTTGTCGACACTGTTTATTTTCAATAAAAAGTTGTTTCAAGCGCCAATTCATCAATAAAAGAGTGGAGTTCACTTTTATCTATAACAGAAAATAAGAATCGTTGTTTGAAAAACAACTGGTTTCCTTCAGTCTAGGTAGACCAAGTGTATTTTATTCTCGCTCGAATCAATGTTGGGCGAATAATTTGTTTCTCTTGATTGATCAGATCGACCACAAAAAACAACAGATTTCGTCCAGTATGATCTCTAAAATTCTTGTCGATCGAATCTCTTTGGTTATGATAGAATATATATTTGCTTGCAGAGTATGGATGTGAGTGGGGATATGGATGTTCTCTTAATCAACACCCATCCTAAAACCATCTCTCTCAAGAAAGAAACATTCATTTATTATGAAAACTTCAAGAAGCTCTAATCATAATTAGATTTATTGGTAGACAATGTGATAAAATGAAATTTATTCGATTCGAGTTTCTCGACAATAATTTACTACAGAGTCAAAATTTAGTAAAGCGTTTCTAACTTTTGAAGAATAGAAAATAATCATGAATTGGTTTGATCGTTTCTTAGCCCCATCAAATCCTACTTAAGAACAATATATGATGTCGAACGTAAGGAACTCTACTATGAGTACTGTTTTCATCAGTGAGTAGTATAAATCATTTACGAGATGAAGTGTGAAATCTGTAAAAAAAAAAAAAGTTAATTATTACGATAGTTATAGGTTGGTATCCAAGAAATTGTTTATCGTTCAATAAATACACTGATTTATTCGCATCACATCACATCTTGCTCGTTCTTACATCTAGTCAAATAGAAAAAAACTTAAAAACGTATGTAGCAGTATGTAAAATCCTATGTACATTATATATTCATGATTTTCTTTGCAATCTTTTGCATATGAGTGAATTGCAACTTTTTGGTACGATTGAAATTTTAGCTGTATTTCGCAAATAACTTTTGTTATGCTGAACCGATTTAGACCAATTTTTTATATGTTATTGATCTTTGAGTGTCCCACTGCCATAGAAAATTTCAACTTTCTAGCTCGTCCAGCTGCTGAGTTATCAGTCCTTTACTATCAAAAAATCCTATTTTATAGGAATATGTATTAAGAAAAGGATACTTTCTATGTACAAAAGAAAAGAGAAAAAATATAGTGAATAGTCAGTTTTGTACAGCTTGAAATGTTTTATCAAATGGTATATTTTTTATATGTTTTTCCATTTCTTTTCACACTCATTCACTCCGAATACTTAATTACACACACTTTGTTATTTTTGTGTAGAACGACCGTATCATTCAATTTACTTCGTCTGTGTGAAAGAGGAAGAGAAGCGAAGATAGGCAAAAGAAAGACAACTGAAATAGTAACAAAATGATATAAAAAGATTCTTCTAAATGTGTTTTTTTTTTTATGAAAATAATCGATTATTTTCTAAAAATTCAAGTTTCACTCACTTTGTAGAACGAC